TTTTGTTTCCCTCTTTAAAACATCCTGATAACCATCATTCCTGTGCACTCGTATTCTCTTCAAATCTTTGTGTGCTTCTTTGTCTTGCAGCTTTTTTGCTCCACTTAAATCAGTATTGACATGTTTATTAATGTTTTCGGCCTCGTTAAACACCGCTTGCTCCTCCACTTCACTTTGAAAGACAAGAATGAAGGTCAAAGCACTGTAGGACACTGATGTCTACTTTAATTAAACTACTGCTCTAGTACTCTAGTTCTCTTTAGGAATCTACTCTCCAAGAAGCATCTACAAAGAAGATGTTATGCAACGATATTAATAATATTTCCTTTTGCAGGTTAATAGTTGTCAATTGAGGGCACACACAAGTTTTGTTTTTGTTTTGTTTTTATCACAAAAGAAAAAACATTAAAGAAACCAACATATCTGTTTTTATTAAAACTGTCTTATTTGAAGCAAATTATGCATGTGCTCTTTCTTTAATGTCTAAATAATGTAAACCCAAGAGGTCACTGACAAAGCTTCAGGAAAACAATGTAATCTTCTATTTAAAGAAAAAATAAAATGGAAAATTTTCATTTAAAATGATTTTTGAAATTTCAAAAATGGTTTAACTACAGTGTTAAAGATTTGTCTTCTAACATAGGTATAAGCAACAATTTGTCGGATCTAAAATAGTTGTATTAGAATTTCGGACTGCTCTTAAGTGGACCATACCAACTATATACCTGCTCTCAGTTTACGAGTTGGGATTTTTACCCGAAACATAACCCAGGGTTGTCAATTCTCACCCACTGAGAGTCAGACTCACCCATCTCAGTGACTTCACACACCTCTCACTCCATATTCCCAATTTCTCACACTAAAAAATGACATTAAATCTCAACTCTGTTTTACTTATTTATGTATAAAAATACCATGCTGATCAAAATCCAGTCCATGTTTTTAATACAACCTTAGTGCTAACACACGAGGACATGCCAGGTTCATATCCAGTCCGTATTCCCACCTATTCGCTGTGCCAGATTTGAATAAAGACATTTCTTACAAGGTATGTCATTTCAATTTCTATCTTATCTGATCTGCACCAGGATAATTCTTTGTAAATTATTGAAGATTTTAAGCAATCTAATACTTGAGTTCAGGTTTGTCTCTCAAACCCATAGGTGCTCCACAAAACAAAAAAGAACCATTGCATTTTATTTTTCAAAAGATCAGCCATCCAAGAAAAGACCAACCACATTCAGAGAGGATGTGAAGAACAACTCAGTTATCCAGGATTCATAATAGGAGAACCACAGATATGTTCTCATTTTATTATTACTTATCTTATTAATTTATCCTTATTTTGGTCCATTGAATATGCTAACTTAATTTCCATCACATTTGCCAAATGAAACACCCAGATAAGGGCTGTCTCCTGTCCTGGTGAGTCGTTATAAAATCTACAGCCTCCTAGAAGGTCTGAATTGTTTAGCTGCTTTGTCAATTGTGAGAAAAACTAATAACATAATGAATTAAGCTTTTTAAATCCTTAGCCTAATAAATATTCATACACAGTGAAGTTTGCATGGGATTAGATTGCACTGGTTCCTGTATTAGGAGCCCATACTTCTTTACTCTGAAAATCACCTGGATATAGAAAATATATATTGTGAGAAAAATGTTCTACATAACTACAGATCACTTATTGTTACTCAGTAACATCTACTGTGCTATAAAAATCCCAAATTCTGACACTAAGTTAAATCCTCTGAAAACACCCAACCTATAGCTGCACCATCCTCTGAGCCTTTTGATCAAATCCTGACAGGGTTGCCTGTCCATACCATTTCAAAATCTCACCTCAAGGTTTGGTGAATATTTGGCAGCCCTGCATAATCCTGCAACCTTTCAATCACATATAAACTTCACTTTCATAACATGTTTTTTTAACCCAAGTAACGAATTTTTTCCAAACTTTTTAGTATCCTTTAAAAAAAAACAAAAAAAAAAAACGATCACTTCATTGCTATTTTTTGTTTTCTCCATTTTTTGCCTTGCAGAATCTATAAATAAAATTTTACTGATAAGTGAGTACCTGAGCCCTATCTGTAGACCGAAATGAGGTTTGTGACAAGCAACGCTTCTTTAATTCCACTTCGTCCACTTTAAAGGGGCCAAGTGCCCCTTTACATAATTTTAGCAACTCTGTTTCTCCAGCTTTTTCTCCATACACATACAGTACATTCCCTTTACTACACAAAAGCAATAAGGATTAATTTAACACTAAGATTTTGAGTAAATTTTCAACTTTATAATACTTTTGTCACAATTTGGTTGGAGGTTTTTGTGAGGACCCAAATGCAGAGGCAGCAAGAATGAGGTGAGTTCTTGCAGATTTAATAGAAAGCTCACAGGTAGCAAAAACAGGAATCCAAAAATCCAACATAAAGATTAAACACAAACCAGAACCATGGGGAGATAAGTGGAAAACAACCACGAGGAGCCAGTGTAAGACAAAGTAAGACGAGGAACCAGCACTGAGGGACTGCACATGTATTTATGGCTGACTGAACAAAGGCAGGACTAACGAGCTGATAAGGAGCAGGTGTGAGTAGAGCTGACGGGGAAGCCAAGGAAAAAAAAAAAAACACAAGGGGGCAACAGAGGAAAAGCAAAGAAAAACCTAAGAAACTTAAATCCAGAACACACCAATAAAGCTAGAAAACAAAGAAAAACATGGATAAATGTGAAACTGAAAACTTAGAGAAAACCAACAGAACCAAGATCGTTACAACTTTGTAACATTAAAGAGAAAATCTTGCACAACTGGATTTTATTACTTCTTCTATTTAACACTTCTTGTTGGATATTTGTTCCTCATGTTGTCCATGTCTTCCTATAACTAATTTACTTATAATGCTACTTTTTCTATGAACAAGGACTTTACTGTTCTTTAAGAATAGGCGCATTTTTGCTGGTTGTAATGAGCAGCATTAAAAATAACTGACTGTTTTGTGTGTTAGTTTGACGTTTGGTCTCACCTGAAAGCGATATAAAGTACCATCGTCTTTCAGGCACAGGACGTGATCAGAGATGGGGAAAAAGTATCCCTGAGCTGCAATCAGACTTCCTATGTGCATGGCCTCAGCTGCAAAAAAATAAAAATAAAAAATTTACAAGTCAAATGCATTTTTTTTTTGGTTCACATAAAAGGTGATATAAGTGAACAACAATTAAGAGCAAGAACATGCGAACAATAAAAGATCACTCTTACGTCACTGCTATTTCTAAAAGCCTAACTGTTTCTAAGAGCTCCTCTGTCATTTGATTTCAGTTACATTACATGCATGTAAAAAAATAAAGATTTTACTGGAGTTCATTTTCTCCTTCCATTTAATACATTTTTAATACATAAAACATAGATTCATGTAATGTATTGTGATCCAAGTGATACATAGAAATAAAATGGTTGTTTAAATTAGGTGAAAAAAAATTATATTTCCTAATAACATTAAACACAAACACTGTTTTCAAACATACCTGAATCCTCTATGGACAAATTCTTCAGCAGCCACTGTACTATATCTGCACCTGCATAAAAAACATGAAAACATTTACATAGTTGGAAAACATTAAAAATGGTTGCAATTTGTCTAAGGCAAAAGGAAATAAAGAAGCAAAATAACTGCTTCAATTTTGGCAATTTCTGTAAGCATTTTTGAGTGTTTTCTTTTTTTTTCTCCCTGAAAACATTTCCTAGAAGAAAAAAATGCAAGCATGTTATACAACTTTGGCAAAAACTCAATAATAAAATTTAATGCAGAGTAGATGTTGTGATGTGCTGACCTCACATAAAGTACCCAAAAGCCTAAAAAGCCTCATTTTTCACTGCAGAGAATCTTCTTTTTTATGCTTCCCTGCTGCTCTCCTGAATGAATGCTGTTTAATTCGCCATCATTCATTTATTTCCCAGGCTCAAGCAAACAGATGCAAACATTTCAGCTTCTTGTCTGCACATTAATCCAATATTGTGGTAATTGTTATTTTTTTATGCTATTCTCATATTTGATGATACCTCTTGCATTGAATAATGACAGATAAATGGTGGAATGTTACAAAGCTTTGTTTAAGACGTTTCCTAGCCTCCCACAATGTGTCCTTGCTGCATTTTTCAATCATAGACTATAGACAAGGCGGCCAACATAGTGTTCATACCTATCACAGTTTCTCAAGATTGTTGTTTCTTAAGCATATTTTTAATCCTTTATCAGCATGCACAGCAACACACTGACAGCACTAAAGCAGATGAAATTTGATTGCCTTGCTTAAGGGTCCTTTGATAAGAGGACATTGCTCATTCCCTTCCTGCTCTCACACTTTCTTCTCCAAACACTTAATTGTATGTTGTCCTCCCACCTCGTTTTTTAGTTATGCAGATATTTTGCCTTGAAGTTGGTACAGAGTATTGACTGAACCACAGTGAAACGTAACTAAAGCACAAAGGTGTGACTCAGCCAGACGCATTGGATGTTTTTTGTTGCATTTCATTGTTGCTGAGATCTTTTTTTCTTATTTCAGTTGTTTTTCCTTCCATTATCTGTTTTGATGGTATATTAATTTTGCTGCCCCGTACTGATTGTGCAGTATAAGGTACAGAGACCCATTATGCTGTTTGCCTAAGCTTCCAGGTAAAGGAATCACTTAAAGAAATATCAAAGAATTTTGTGGTCCCAAATGAAAATTGCAAGTATATTGAAATACTCAACGAAGAGTGAGGGGAAAAGTTTGGTATAAATTGGTGTTAAATGTCTGAGCAAAAAAAACCAAAAACAACAAAACAACTTGAGTTGTTATTTTTGAAAACTCGCAATGTTTTTTATTACTATAAGGCAGTACAACAACAATCCTAAAACAGCTTGGCTGTTCTAGTATGAGTAAATCACAGTATAGATAATGTAATGCACAGTTCTGGATTAGATCAAACTAATAAGAATCCCTTTGAAAACTGTACAAATTTCCGGCGTAGTTTGACAAAACGTCTTAAAAAGTAATATAGTCTACAAACTGTCTTCAGTTTTTTTCCTAAACTATTATTTCCGTAACATTATAACTTTATGACAGCACAGTTTTCTTTGACTTCACAGACAAAATTAACAGGAAATTGATTTTCTTCACAGAAGTTGAGGAATTTTTATTTTTTTCAAAAAAAAAAAAAAAGGACATTGTTGCTTCTCCACTTCTGGGATTAATCCTTAACAGACCTCTTAGGTATTTTTCACAATCATTTTCTACTAATAACTTAATTTTTTTTTTTTTATGTTTAAACAGTAATGTGAAATCTCTCCTAAATTCCATGAGTTTATTATAATTATTTAAGTAAGGAAACTTATCAAAGAGGAATAAGGATGCGCCTATGTATAGTTTCAACACTGAATACATGCAACTGGGCGACAGTTGTGTCGGGTGCAGGAGTTTGCTCTGCAGTCGGAGGGTTGTCGGGTCGAGCCTCGGCTCCGGCTTTCAATGTCGTTCTGTTCTTGGGCAAAACACTTCACCTGCAGTGCCTACTGATGGTGGTCAGAGGGCCGGGTGGCGCCAATGTACGGCAGCCTTGCTTCTGCCAGTGAGCCCCAGGGCAGCTGTGGCTTAAAAGTAGTTTGCAACCATCAGTGTGTTAGTAAATTGGTGAATGACTGAATGTAGTGTAAAGCGCTTTGGTCAAGTCTCCTGACTTGAAAAAGCACTATACAAATACTGGCCATTCAAAATCACCCTTTAGGGCTCTCCATTTTTATTTTACAGAACATTTCCAGATCGATCTTTGTTTATTCTAGGGATGCAAAATGTTTTTCTGGAAGACCTAAATATAATCTTACAGTATCATAGTTTAGTATTAAGATGTTACCTTAAGATGTACAGTCCAGATTACCTAACAAGGGGAAATTAGCATATGTGTCAGTTTTGCCATAAAATGCTATAATATAGAGAATAGAGTATTTATAATTAGAAGATCAACTAATGATGGCACATCCAAACATAATGAAACATGTCATCTCAGACACTGGGAGCAAAAGCTTAAAAGCTAAATCTGATGAAATTCTCAGGGAAAAAAAAAAAAACAAAACAAAGAAATTACCATTCTCCATGAAGTCTTTTTGTCTTTCAATCATCTGTCCACCAGACACTCAATGTCTTTCACTGATGTGCCACTACAGGGGTACCACACAGTCTCCATCACAACACTGTCATTTCTGGCACTTTGCTGCAACATGCTTTCCTTGCTGCAATCTTACCTGTAACAACACTGGGGATCTTTGTCATGAAACTCTTGACGGTTCTGATTGGAACACCGTCTGTCTCGTCCTGGATGCGACTGATAATGTCTTCAATCTGAACAGATAAAGAATCATAGAGAAGAGAGACTGAGGAACTGTTCTAATTTATCTAGCCTGATCCAATCACTACTATTTATTTGTCAAATTTCACTCATGAACAATGAATCTTATAAAGTGTAGGCAGAGTGGTGGAGGCTGAAAACCTTTTATTCAATCTCAGATATTACTTTGACTAAATCTAATCAATATTACAAGTGTTTTCTTTCTTTCTTTTTTAGGGACTTTTAGTTATGCCAAGTAAAAATAAAACCTTTCACCCAAGCTTCGCTTTCAAACTGGATTCATTTCTCAATCAAAATCACGTTCCATTATCTAGGGAGTTTTTATACAGAGTAATGTATACTTCTGTAATATTTGCTCTGAAATACAACACACTGCTATTTGAATGAAACCCCTGTATTTGGTTACACAGTGCTAGCATTTCACAGGATAAGCAAACACTACCGTGTATTATGCTTGTCTGTTTATCAGTGCAAATATGAAGCATTAAACATGTTTTTCACTTTGTTCTGAATAAGAAGATACTTTTGATGTACTTTGCTTTGATTGCAAGGTTGAAGCATCCTCTCTGCACAGATGCTTTTTGTCTGTGTCAGAGAGTGGGAAGTGAGAAGATGGTCGCTTTGGAGACAGCTATCGCAAACTACCACAGCACTCAGCAGCTATATTTAAACCCTGAATCAAATGCTGACCTCTGAGGATGAGAAAGGGATCTGTTTTTTTTTTGTTTTGTTTTTCTCAGAACAAAAACATGTGAACAACAAGACATGCAGACACCAAGCTCTAGATGAGAACATTCAGGTTAACCTGGGGCATGTTAAAAAAGCTGTGTGGCAAATCTGCGATTTCTCATATAGTATCGAGTTATGATCCATCTAACCTAATGGTATACTGTGGGATATTACCCGAAAAACCTCTAAGCAAAGAGGACATAATGGTCAGCCACCTGTACCATCCCAAAAGACTGATTCCAAGAGGAGGGGCAGCAGCTCTATGTGAATTATGGTCATTTATTTAGAGTTCATCTAATGGTTAAGTGGAGGATGGTCTTTTTTCGGGTGGATCATCAAAATAAGTGGTCCTCCTAATTCTAAATCCCTCTGGTGATTAATGTATGTTTACGTAAGACCGTCCTACATGCCCGTCTCCATTTGCACTTACCGTTCTGACATAGTGGAAAGGTGCAAATCTTCTTTCTTATTTTGTAAAGTATGCTAGTGTGAGCGATGCAAACAGCAACTTTTAAAAAAAAGTGTGCATGAGGACAAATTGGCTTGTGCACGCTCTTAGATACATATAATAGGTGTTCCCTCTCGGGAGCGGGTACAGGCTTGTGGTTTTTTTTATTTTTTTTTTTATTTATTTTTTTTATGTAGAGGGCGGGTGATTCAAAAATGTGCAGAAATCCTCCAATATACCTTTTAGTATTTGGTGAACGCATTGAGAAACATTGCAATAAATTATTGTCAATGATTAGCATTAAAAATGAATATTTCAAGAGAAAACATACATTTTGTAACACTTTCTATAAGAAGTAATCAAGATGTTGAAAAAGCAGGAGATGTTTTTGGAACTTCAAAGCTAAAATTCAGTAAGCAGTCCTTTATAGAAAACAGTATATAATGCGGTTACAAGTACCATTGTTTATCATTTTGAATTTATCTATATATACATTCCTTAGTTTCAGGTAACCTGCAGTTCTGTGCAAAGAGTAAAAACACACAAGATTTTTTTTACATTTTCTGGTTTACTGATAGTGATTTTTTTAGCAGAGTTATTAATGAAAGAGCAGCACTGTTTGTTTTACTTGAAAGATTTTCCACTACCTTGCCTTAAGTTGAATTGCTGTTGAAAAAGTAATTATTTCCATTAAAAGTAGAACAAAGAAGGGATAGGTCAAATACTTCAATAATATTCCACAACAGATCTTCAGCAAGCAATTTAAGAGAACAAAGAAGTGTGGGCAGGGTTTTTTTATGAAAAAGATTACCGGCTAAAATCCAGTTTTTACACACAGTTCCTTTATGCAATCCCAACAGCCACCCTCACAGCATCCATTTGTCTCACAGTTGACAGGCAATATCCTGACAAAAGAAAAAAGAAAATAAAACGCTATTATGAGTAGAAAAAAGTTTTGCTAACTGCATACTCAATGGACAGTTAAGGAAACTGAGGATTTTTTTTTTATCTCAAGTTTGAGTACGCTTATTCTAGTATTTATGACTGAGAAGAGCTCTTGGTGATAACTGCACTTCCACAAGATTTCTCACCCAGCAAAGTGCATTTCTCAGGTAAAGAAATGCACTTTGCTTTTCTTCGCTCATGGACGAAAAGCTTAAAGGGACATTTTGTTCACTTTTCAGCAGATTTCTAACCAGGTAGGAGTTTAAAAAGACTTCTGCTTTTACCTCAGACCATCAGACTGCTCTCATCCTCTTCGCCTTTTGTTGTCCAAAAAAGAAGCCGATCATCACAAGCAGAGGCACAGGCTTCTACATGCTGTGCTTCACAATCAGTGGATTATGATGCCAAAAAAACCCCAACCCTGTTGGTGTCGAGAGAAATGGCTTCTGTTGTCCTTACCAACTATTTTTGAGCAACTGTGCACACCCAGTTTGTGGCAAATTATAGCAGAAATTACTTTGATTAGATTAAATAAATATCAAACCAGTTTTCACCTTTGAAGATAGCTGACAATAAGTTCAATATGAGACAAATAACAGTCACCTAAGGAAGAAAACAATAAAGATAATCTGTTACGAAGTATTCAGGAAAGATGAACTACACATTATAGTATGTCTTGCTAGGTTAAGATGCTTTGCAAATAAATTCAATACATTAGATTTTTTTCATGCAGAGTATACATCATTTTTTAAGACGCCTTTCCCAAAATCACTGTTTATCAGAGAATATTATATCAAGTCCTGTACAAACCGTCATCAGCATGATGCTGATCCCTACATTTACAGAGTTCCTTAATGGTATCTATATTTTTACAAAACCTATTTTTATATTGTTTGAATTGCAGATAAATGATTTAGAACTGATTAATTACTAATATCTGGTGTCTTTAAATGGAAAGACGAGGAAATATGTACCCCTCTAACAACATTCAGTTTAGGTTTTGTGTTGAAAGGAGCTCATACTACCATAAATCAATGCATTGGGTCACATGACCCAAACAGTTGGGGATCCAACCCTTTTAAGTAGGTATGACTGTAATGAACTGATGGTGTAACTTTAAGCAAAAACATAGCAGATTTCATGGAATTATGGTATTCTGATTATGGCTCCATTTCAGAAATGTCTAGAATAAAAGTGAAATTTTGCCTGTATTGTTGGCTGATCTTTAGCATAATATCCACGTCAGAGTTACCTTCAACTTCAGGAAGTGTTTTTAAATCAGAGGTGTCAAGCCAAAATTAGACAATCACAGCCCTTAAAATACACATTATACTTATGATTTTTGCACTTATGGAAATCAATCACAAAGAAGCACCAGAAATCACGAGTAGGAATAAGTGTATACAAAGTGCATAGCTACAACTACACTTTTCAGTAAAAACTAATCAAATACACAATCCAAAACGAGGTTGTGACTACCACAATCACCAAGTTGCAGCAGCCGTACAGCGTTGCCTCATCATCATAGGCTGTGTCCAAACATCCGCCCTAACCCCAATATACAGCCATACATAGTGGTTAGTTTTTTGTTGGGGGGCGGACACAAATATGGCACAGGCATCACTACTGACCATTCAGATAGTAGTGATCATCTGTCCAAGTGGCCAGCTAACTGAGTCACTATAGAGTCCACTATAAAGTCCCTGTTAAATATAGTGATTGAGGGGTTAGGACGCACATTTAGCCATGGTTTCATTTGTTTCACTAATGCCTGAGGCAGACAGCATAAACATAAACAGAGGAAAACCTCCTTACTCAAAGCAGTTACAACCTAGTCAAAGCATTACATTTTAACTGAAATTAATGTGTTTAATTGTCTAGTGGTGTGGGGTTTGAACCCTATCTAAAAGGGTTAAAG